TTAGTATAAATGAAGTTTTGAGGACATACATGACTGTGAGTTTTATTTACGACAAGATAGAATATGAGAGAGGTCCTATAAACCGGACAAGTAAGGGTCATATAAACATCTGTCATTTTACTCAGAATTTTACTCAGAATTCAATAAAAATATATTTTAGGGTAGAAGGTTAGATATAACCTCTTTTCTAACCTCTTTTCTACCCTCTTGAATTTGTCAAGATTTCTTCGTAAATGTTTTGTCACTTTTCTGTCACTTTTCAGGAAAAAAACATTTTTATTGTATATAAAATGAATTTTACAAAACCACCGTTACCCTTCTTTGGAAATAAGAGTAGATGTAAAGATATTCTATTGAGAGAACTTAAGAAACTACCGAATGGTCTAACATTTGTAGATTTGTTCGGTGGAAGTTTCTATATATCCCATTGTGCCATACTGTATTTCCTGACTCAAAGATTATATGCAATGACTTCGACAACTATATGGACCGTCTCAAACATATTCCAGACACAAACAATATATTGAAAGCGTTAAAAAAAAGATACCTATAGGTAAGATGGAACGTATACCATTAGATAAGAAAAATATTGTGAGAGAGGTTTTGAAAAAAGCAGAATATATAGACTGGGATAGTATATCTGCTAGACTATTATATAGTGGTGCTATAAGAGTTCATGACATTGAAACACTTATGTCAAAAGTTTTATATCTTAACTATACAAATGTTTTCAAAGAGGACATAGAAAAATATATTGAGGGTATAGAGTTTGTGAGATGTCATTGGACAGAGTTGTATGAAAAATATAAAGACAAGGAAAATGTTTTCTTTATAGTGGACCCACCGTTCTATAACACATGGGATTTTCAATACCAAGTAGACTGGACTTTGAGAGACTCTTTAGAAACTTTAGACGTTTTACATAACCATCCATGCTTTTACTTTACATCCGATAAAAGTGGTTTGGAAAGTGTCATGAGATGGTTAGAGGACATACATGACTATGAGTTTAGATACGATAAGATAGAATATGAGAGAGGTCCTATAAACTGGAGAAAGTGTCATAACAAAGAAATTTTACTAGTAAGTAAATGTGGTTTGAAATAGGACTACTTGTTTTAGGTTTTTTCCATTGTGTCATTTACTTATTTGACGTGGCAGAAAGATATAGAGAATATGAAGATGAACCAATGCCTGCAAATGTTCAGTATATGTACTCGTAAGAGATATTTTTATCTAATATTAAATGGACGCACAGAACTTAGCGAATGCACAGCAACCTGGACAACCAAACCCAGAGAATATTCCAAATGAAGTTAGAATACAAACTGCAATGGCAAACTATGGTCAAGTGCCAACAGATGTACAAATGCAAACTGCCATGTCAAATGACGCTGCGTTAGGTTTGCCACCATGGTATGCAAATATGAGATGGAAAGAGTTTTATACAAACCCTGAAGTGGGATATAAACAACTTTATGCAGATGACGCGAACACAGGAGTTGACCCAGAATATGTTTTCTACCAGAGGAGAAACAGAATGTATGAGCTCCAGTTAAAGAATGCTATGGAACTCAACAGGAAACGTAAGAGACTAGGCGGACATTAGATTTTTACATATAGTAAAATGGGTTTCTTTGGAAGAATAGGAAACTTCTTTCGAAATGTTGGAAGAGGTATATGGAATGGAATAAAATCTGTCGGAAAAGGAATTTGGAACGGAGTCAAAAATATTGGTAAAAGAGTAGGTCAGTTTGTTGGTATTATACCTAAAGACCCTGAACCAGAAGAACAAGCTCCTGTTATACAACAGCCTGAACCTGCACCACAGTCTAGTTGGCAACCAAATCCAACACCTCAACCGTATTAAAAAATTATATTTTTATCGTTCGATAGTAGTTGTATATGAAACTAAGTTCTAAGTAAAACGCATGGTATAATGGAATTATTCTTTTTCTTCCATCTGTAGTAAACCATACTTGAAAGTCTGAAATACTTCCACTTGGTGGTTCGTATAACTTTGTAGGTTTTTCGTAAAAGTCATTTGCCAAGCATAAGAAAGAGTTTTGGGCGCCAGAAAATGAAGCATGAACAATAATAGCAGCTGGGTCGAAAACATCTTTAAATAAATATGGTTCATCTCTTGCATATCGACTGTAAATATTTGCTAAAGGAAGTTCGACTTTCTGATTTAACATTCTTTGCAAATAATACCATGACATTGCAGTGAATTCTGTATATATTTGTTCGTCTTTCTTTGGATTGTCTTCGTAGATTTGAAATGACACTTGTGAATTTTGTTTGTCATATACAATTCTCACATAAAGTGTGCTCTCGGTATTTGCATATTCATCAGCATATTTTGCATAACATGAATTTATTTTATCTTCTATATTTTTTAACGCAGTCTGTAGAGAAGATGAAAGGTCAACTTGTATTAGCTCAATTTCTTCCCACATTTTTCGTTTCCCTTCAGATATATAATCTATATGAAACCTTACAATAAATGGAAAACTTTTATCTTCTACAGACACAAACTTCATTCTACGAAAGCCAATAGCTTTTGTGACAGATGGGTCTCTTAGCCATCTAAGTGGGTAGTCAAAACGATAGCCTTCATGCTTTACGGTCTCTGTCTCAAACTTTTGACCGACATTCGTAAAAAGTTCATCTAATGGTTTAGTTGTAGCAACTCTTGAATTTTCTTTTTCTATTGGAAGCATATTTTATCTAGAATAAAAATGTCGAAAGAAACAGCGTCTATGAGAGAAATACAACACAACCGACAACTCATTATGCAAGCTCTAAATAAGAACACAACAAACTTTTCAAACTATTCTAAGATATCTGAGTCATTGAAAGAAGGAAACTTAAAACTGACGATAAACCCAATGACAGACGAGTTTCTGTTTCAAGACAGTAAGAACCATACTGTTTGTATAAATCCAACAAAAAGAACTTTAAACGAGAAACCTATAGATGAACTTCTTTTGAAGGCAGATATTGACAACAAAGCTGACAAAGAGTATGTCATTGAAAAAGTTCAAGAAGAACATGACAGAGCAGATGCAACATATGCAACGAAAGAACATACTCATCCTGAACTAGCAGATAAAACATATGTTGACAATAAAATGTCAAGTGAAGTGACAAGAGCTGACAAAGAATATTCTAAAAAGACTCATACACATACCATTGCAAATATTACAAACTTACAAGAAACCTTAAACAGGAAAAGTGACGTTGGACATACACACGATTTCTTCGCAACTGTTGGTATAGAAAATATTGCAGGAACGGTTGAAGAACCTGATGGAACTGGTGGGGATGTATTAAATTGGAAACCTCCTAACTTTCCACAAGGTTTAACATCGGAGGATGACATAACAACGATGAAAGACATTAAATGTAGAAATGTCTATGTCATGGAGGATGAAAACAAAGTTAAATTCACTGCTCAAGATTTATATGATAAAAAAGCTGACAAAACATATGTTAACGATGAGTTAGATAAAAAAGCTGACAAAACATATGTTAACGATGAGTTAGATAAAAAAGCTGACAAAACAGAGCTTCAAACGTTAAAGACAGAAATACTTCAAACACTATATCCTATAGGCTCTATTTATACGTCAATGAACTCTACCAGACCAGAAGTAGTACTTGGTTTTGGAACTTGGACTCAAATAGTCGACAGGTTTTTGTATTGTGCAAACTCTTCAAAGGAAACAGGTGGAAGTAAAACGATTTCAGGTGCAAATTTACCTGCGCACAGTCACTACATAAATTTAAGTACATCTGAAGCAGGTTTGCATAGTCATAGATTTTGGGATTGGTCAGGAATGACAAAAGGTAAAGGATATGATGTTAAAGAGGACGTTAAGTTTGCTATAAATTGTTACTGGAGTAACACTGAGGTAGGAGGAAGCCATACACATCGCGTTTCAGGGTATACGCAAACAACGGGACAGAGTAAAGACTACATGCCACCTTACATGACAGTTTACGCATGGTATAGAAATGCTTAGTCGTCATTTTCAACTTCTTTAGCATATTCGTCAGGAGTTGTCTTATATTTGTTAGGAACTGTCTTTGAAAGTATACCACCTTGAACTTTGACAAGTTTGAAACGAGGTCTGACAATAGTAGTTTTATCTTCTGCTTGCAGTGTGTACATTTTGCCATGTTTGCCTAAAACTTCATAATATTCTCTTGTATACTTTCTTCTATTTTTACGAACACGAATGCGAGTACCTGTCGAGTTCCCATTGTTGTCATAGTCAATAGTATTTTCATATGGGTCGCGTTTAGGTATTTCTATTTTTACTTTGTCACCTTTCTTAAGTTTGAAGCCTGGCATTCTTTCTTGTTTGTCTCTTTTGACTAAACTATTAAATATATAGTCTTTCTCTAAGTCGGGGTTGTTTTTCATTTCTTCGGGGAGTGGTTTCCCAAACCTTTTTGTTTACGGCTATTGTAAATATTTAAAACTTGTCTCATCTTTGCCATGGAGAAGTGTCTATATTTGTCGTCATATGACATTTCATCTACCTCACCACCTTGTGGTTGATTTAAGTCTCTTAAGATTTTTATACAACTGTCAATGACACCAAGAGCAGAATGGTTTTGGTCGACAATGAAATATTGGTTTACATTTTTTGAACGCAGATAGTTTTTAATATCGTCTGATTTGAAAGAACGTTCACAGTCAGATGTCAGTTTTGTTGGATGGTATTTGTCAACAAATATTGTCAAAGCAGTTTTCACATCTAAAATATTTTTGGACTGTAATGGTATGGCTTCACAGTATCTTGTGTTTTGACCGACAAATATTAGCCAGTATGGTGGTCCATCTTCTCTATACCTCGGAATGTTTTCCAAGATATCCATAAACCAAGCATTTGGTGTTGAACTAAAGATTTTTATCATGAGTGCTTTCTTTGTTGCCTTAGAAACATAGGGGTCCTTGTTTGGATTCGTCATTTTTTACCCTATAAGAAATGGGTTTATTTGGCGCATTAGCAGGAGTTGCATCCAGATTTTTGCCCGCAGTGGGAACAATAGCCAGAGGTGCATTTGGAATTGGAAGGAAGATTTTGAGTACATTAGGTATACTTAAAGAGAAAGCACAACCTATTATACAAACTGTACAGAAAGGTTGGGATGTAGCACGAGATGCAGCAAATCTTATTCCAAATCCTGAAACAAGAGGAAAAGTTCAAGGATGGATGGACAATGTAGGAAGACAAGCAGGAAACTACTATAACAAAGCAAATGACTACTATAACCAAGCAGGGCACTACATGGACCAAGGTGAAAGATTCTTTAACAGAGGATATAACCATGCACAACAGTGGGTAAACAACAACCAACCGCAACCGCCTCAAACGTGGGGAATGTAAATTTTTTTACTGAGATGAAATGAACAATACAGCATTGAGACAAATGGGCTCAAGATGGATTTGTCGGCTTCCAGCAGTTACACAACCACGTGTTTGTCAAGTTCTTCCTATACCTCAAGAAGTTTTAGACCGACTTAAAAAACCTAAACAACCAGTTGAAAACAAACCAAACTAAAATTTTTTACTGAGATGAAATGACCGAAGAAGTTGAAACGGTAGATTTGACACCACAAACAAAAAGTTCAGAACCATTGTCAAAACCTGTCAAAGAACTTACAGATGAAGAGAAAAATTCAATAATAGAAAGTGCCAGGTCTGGAAATACAAACCCTAACTACAAAGTCACTTTTCATAGAAATGGAACGGCTAGTATCTCAAAAAAGAAACAGACTCTCACAAATAAAATATTGAAGTCTGAAGGAGCTTTCGAGACAACAGATGGAAAAGTTTACTTCACTGACCAACAGTTCATTATAGAACATCTCATTGACTTAGAGTCGAAATATTCTAAACTTTACAACAAACACAAAAAGTTGAAAGGAAAACAAAAACAAATGGCATATGATATTTATGAAGATGTTGACGACACAACCATACCTGCAAGTGAGGTAAAGTCAGAGGAACCGAAAAGTGACGAAAAACCGATAGAAGAAGGGAAGCCAAAAACTGAAGATAAACCAAAACCAAAGGTTAGTCAACCTTCATTAGCTGGTATGGGTTGGCGTCAAAGACTTATGGCAGCCGGTGGTTACGTAAAGTAAAGAAAAAAAACATTTTTTTTTTTTATAAAAATGCCCCCATATAGAATGGATAGAAAGTCTGCTAGAATAAAAGCAGAGTTAGAAAGATATGGTTGGAAAGTTTCGAAGAATTTTAAATATAGGAAGGGAAGACCCATAAAAGTCTATGACAAACTGTCTGGTCTTCGCTATGAAATGGACTTGGAAACAGCGCGCGCCAATTATCCAAACAGACTAGAGAGGTTAGAAGAAGAACGTCTTATGGACATGCCTTTCGATGTTTCTGAACCTCAAGTTGAAGGACACGACGGCTTTGCCAGATTCTACTGGAAACACGACGAACAATTGCATCCTTTGAGAAGGAAAAAAGGAAAAGGTGAAGACAAACATGCTCCCATGGAAAGAACAAGATATGCATATGAAAAGTACCGTGAAGTTAGAAGTCAAATTACATCTGGTCGAACCTTTACAGTAAACTTTGACGAAGGAAAGAACAAAGAAGGCTTCATGGGAGTACTTGCTGCCATACAAGACGGAAATAAGAAAGGATACAATCTCAGACTAACCGTAACAGATTTGGACGGTCATATATACTGCACATGGCAATGTCACAACAGCTGCAATGCTTCTTGACGCTTTCAAGACTACAAAGAGAGAACAAATGGTTGACTCCGACTCAGACATTTTGAATGCAATTGAAGGAATTGCAAGTGTAAAATTTGAATGGTACCAACCTAACCCTCAAGCAGTCAGACAACATGCTGGATACTTCCCGTTCATAAATAAGTCTGACATTGACTTGACAAGGTATGGAATTTACAATTCAATTGAAACAATTGTCAATGAACCTTGTATTCTTACATGTCTCAGGAACTCTGGTCTTGTTACAGATGAGAAGATGAAGTATCTTGAGTCATGTGTGAAGACAAGGTACATTCTCAGAGGTCAATTGGCAAAAGTTGCACCGTTGGCAAATGTCAATATCCGAGTCAACATACCTACAGCTAAAGGTTCTTCACATGACGACTATGTTGTTGACAAAGACTTACCATGGTTGAAGATTGTAATTGTCCACAACCACTTCATGTTGAACGAAAGTCTTACAAACCCATTGTTCGGAAAAGGCAAGTGCAACATTGTCAGAGCTGTAAACATTCTTTTCGAGAAAGGTTTGTTGGAACCAATTCCAGATGACAAGCTGACAGAAACTTTTGTACCAAAAGACGAAACAAACTTTTCATTGTTAGCAAGACCAAAAGTTGTTCCAGACAAAGTTCTAGCACAAAAGAAGTACACAGTTCCAAAAGGAGTTGGATTGTTCGGATACCAACCTGAACCAGAAGAACTTCCAATGAGGTTGCAAGAACTTCAAGATGCTATAAACAAACTTCCATTGAGACATCCAATTGACGTCAAATTGTATTGGAGAGCATCTGAGTTAGGTCAGAAGGTTTTATATGAAACAGGTTGCTTCGACGATGTTTATGAGATAGCAGGCGAAGTTTCTCAGAAGATAAGAGACTCACTTGAATTTCCACGAACTGGACCCATTGGTTGCGACAAGTTCGACTCAGATGAAAAGATATACTATGTCGACCTTAACGCTGCGTACATGAGGTTCGTCCAATATATCCCGACTGGAATTCCAAACGAAGACGGTGAGTTCCCAGGAAGGAACTATACAGTTGGAAAAGTCATACAACAACTGTATGATATTAGGAAAGCTTCAAACCCCAAACTTGCAATGACACTCAAATTGCTTATGAATTCGACATGGGGATATTCCATTAAGAAACCTCAAAAGATGAAGAGTAAACACTATGAGAAGGTCGACAACTTTGTTGAAAGGTTCTCCCCTTTTGTTTTGAAATACGAATTTACTCAAGGTCAAGGTGGCTTAGTAACCACAGTAAAACCTATTGTCGAACATTGGTCTTACCCTCAGTTCGCAAAGGCAGTCCTTGACAACTACAACAAATTCTTCTCCGAAGTTAAATCCAAAGTGAAGGTTTACTATGAGAACATCGATGCGCTCATGACGAACGAAGAAGGCTATAACAAACTCATTGAAATGGGAATGGTCGGTGAAAAGATGGGTCAATTCAAATTGGACAAAATTTTCACCGAAGTTCATGTCCTCTCCAAGCGTAAGTACTGGGGCATACTTGAAGACGGCACAGAAATAAAACATTGCATGAAATAAAAAATTTTTATTCGAATTTGAATCGGACAGGTCGAGTTACACCATTCTTGGTCTCAAACTCATATATAACCTGTTTGTCTGTATTTTCGTCGACTATGGCACGAGACACGAACATTGACCAAACGGACAAAAAGTGTCATTTCGGATGGTCCCGCAGCCAATCGCATTCGAGCACTTCGAAGAAGCCTTACGTTCCAAGGGAGAGGGTGTCTGGTGCAAGGCAGAGGTCATGAGACTCTACGAGCAGTACATCCTCAATGCCTGGGAGGACAAATCGTCCTTGGAATGGCAATTCTACCAACTCCTCTGGGACGACCTCCTACGCAACTGGGATGACGAAAGAGTCCAATTCAGAGGTCAGGAACTACTTGTCCAAATTATCCTTAATTTAAGCCGCTTACGCAACTAAAAACTTAAATTTACTCGGGGTTTCCCCCTAAAATAAAATTTTTTTACTCTTAGAACCACTCGAGGTTCTCCTTACGGTTGTTGAGCTTGTCACCGTCAATGTGTCTGACCTTCGTCCTCTTGTTTGGATTTGGAACCCATTGAATTGCGACAAGCTTGCCCATGGAGATTGAACCGTAATTCCGAAGGGTAAGGTTCAAGTGTCCCAAGTTGTTGAGAACTGGGGTAAGAACCTTGCCGGTCTCCTTGTTGCGGATTTGGTATGGGTAGGGTTGGGAAATTTCGTAAGTGTCATCGGCAACAAGGGTTGCCCAAACTTCCTCTTCTTCGTGTTTCTCTTCTTCCTCTTCTTCCTCTTCCTCTTCTTCGTGTTTCTCTTCTTCCTCGACAATTCCTTCGGCAATTCTGTGTTCACGAAGTACGGTGTTGGAGGTTCTGTCCTTTCCGAGTACCTTCCAGATGGCGTCTATCTCTTCGAAGAAACGGTAGATGAGTCTGGCAAGGTCTCGGTTCTCTCTCGCGTAAATGCGCAAGGTTTCCGTCAAATCGTTCAGGACTTTCTCATTGGAAGCTTGGTTCATGAGAACTCACCTTTAAGTCCCTTCATCTCTTCCATAAGACTACTTTGGAGAGTCTTAACGGTGTTTGTCAGATGAGCTTTCAAATTCAAAATTTGAATTTGAACTGGGCGCTTGTCTGGCAACATTGAAAGGACATCTTCCATTGTGTTCGGCTTCGGTGCTTGTTCGGACATCGAAAAAATGAAGTGGTTTGAGAATGACGGTTTTACTTCAAAAAGCTTGTTATGACGGTTAAGTCATACAACAAGTTTAAAATAATATCTTGTTCTTCTTCTGAACGTTTGTTGTCTCTTCCGATAAAAGTTTCGAACATGAGAACCAAAAAACGTTTTTTGAGATTGCGGAAGAGTTCAGGCAAACGTTCATATTCTGGATATGTTGGGAGCAGTTCAAAACATCTGAGCTGACTTTCGGACAAAATTGGGACAATGTCAGAAAATTCATCTTTGGTCGGACTGCTTGAAGGTAAGTCCCTTACATGTAAGTAGCTCTGGTAAAGTCTTCTCATTTCTGCTAACTTTTGGAGTATAGCTTCGTAGTTTAGAAGTTTTAATTTTAATTGTCTTATTCCACTCTTTACTTCTAAACGGTAAGTATCCATGAGGTCAAGAGTAGCTTTGGTAGCTTTAAGTGGAGCTATTTGTTCCTTGACTTCTGCAATTTTGGTTGCAATTGTGGTTTGAGCTCCTTCAAGTTCGCCGTCTATGTCGTTCTCAACACCTTCAACCATAGCTTGAAACTCTTCATCGGTCCATTGAGTTTGGTGTGGGACGAATTTAACTTGCTTCATTCAAAAAATGAAAAAAATGTTTTTACTCAAAGCGTGCCATGTATATGGCTATAAGAAACTTACCAGAAGGCTTCTTCTTCACATGAGTCTTCGGCAACTTGAGAGTTTTGTTGGAGTTGGGTCTGGAATTTCAATTCTCTCTCGAGCGCAACAACAGATGTCAGAATAACATTCCCCACTGTCTTTCTTGCCACCATAAATTGTGTATTGACCGAACTTGCATTTGCAGGAAGACCGGTCAATACAAGGTTCACAGTTGAAATAGTTGTACACAAACCTGTTGAGTACGAGTGTGAGTAAAAACATAAAAAAAGTGAAGTTAAAATGAGATGTTTACTGAATTGGTTGGATGTCGCCTTCTGAGGTTATGAAGAACGGCTGTCCAGAGTAGTAGAAGTAGTGCTCTGAGAATTTGTGTAATTCGTGGAATTGGGCTCTCACGATATGGAAGTAGTATCCAAGGACGTTTCATGAAGAACTTCAAGAGGGCTTCTTTCTTCACATCCTTAATATCATCGAATGCAGTGCCTTCTGGAACTTGAATTGCAACACCTGTTTCAATTTCCAACTTTAAGACACTATTCTTGGACAACCAGAAGCCAATGGACTTGCTTGGTTTGCACTTGCTGAGATATTCCTTCACGGTTTCATTTACCTCAATTAGATAAATTGCTTCGTCTAAGGGGTCAAGCTCCATACTGAGTCAGTACAATATTGTACTTTTTCAAGACAATGTTGTACTTTTTCAAGACAATGTTGTACTTTTTCAAGACAATGTTGTACTTTTTCAAGACAATGTTGTACTTTTTCAGAACAATGTTGTATAAATTCAGTACAATGTCTCTCAAATTTGAGTACGGCTGTACTTTTTCAGAACAAGTCTTGAACTTTTTCAGAACAATGTTGTACTTTTTCAGAACAATGTTGTACTTTTTCAGAACAATGTTGTACTTTTTCAAGACAATGTTGTACTTTTTCAAGACAATGTTGTACTTTTTCAAGACAATATTGTACTTTTTCAAGACAATATTGTACTTTTTCAAGACAATATTATATTGTTTCAGAACAAAGACGGTTAAGACACAAACGAATGTCCGACGTCCCACCTACTGAACCCGTTCCACAGCCAGAAGAACAGCATGCTCCAGCACCACAACAGGTTCCACCTCCACAAGGCTCCCCACAGCAACCTCAGTTCCAACAAGGACCTCCGAATTACTACCAATTTCCACCTCAAGGTTACTACCCACCACAAGGCTTTCCAAACTACCCACCACAAGGCTTTCCAAACTACCCTCCTCAACCCATGCCTTACTTCCCTAACCCTTGGATGTTCATGTCAAACCCTCCACCCCAATTCAAATTCCAATCTCAGTCCAAGAGAGACCAAGAGTTCGAAGAAGGTCTGAACCGTTTACGCAAAGAGTATGCCACAGCCCCTATGGAAGAAGACAGGCTCTCACTCTCTTCCCTCAAATCGACCGATTCGACTCGTACCACAGATTCGGTTCGTGACCGTGAAGACTACCTCAAGCAGTCTGAGAGACTCTTCATCCTACAACCATTTACAACTGGAGCTCTCAAGAACATGCGCAATTACGAAGGTCAGACACCAGCTGGAGACCGTAAAACAGACGTACTCGCAAGAGCAGTCCAACTGGTCAAGACAAAGACCGAGATAGTCGACTTCATTCTTGCAGCTTGCCCATACAAGTAAAAAAATAAACAATTACGAGTTAAACTTTTTATTCTTTCTTTTCTGAGTTGTTTAGAGCTGGTTTCTCTTGTAGAAACCTTTCGTACTCTTCCATGGTCATGTAATTGCGAATTTGGTACGCAATTCCAGGTTCGTTGTTTTTGAACCTTACGTATGTAACGCTTCCATCCTCCTCAGGGAAGTAAGCTGCTAACATCTGACCAAGTTTTCTCGGTGACTCGGAGCTCATAAAAATGTCACTTTTTAAACGTTAAGTTTTTAGTCTTATTTTACCCTTTGTTTACCCTTTGTTTGTCAAGGTAGTATTGGAGTGCAATTTCTCCAAATTCTCTGTGTCGGAGTTCTTCAGCATTTTCCAAGGTGTGCCTGGAGAACTCAAAGAAGTTGTCAAGAAGATACTGCCATGCTGCTCTTCTGAGTTCGTCGGTATTTTGGAAGTGTTGCACCTTCGAGTCTTCGGACATGAAAAAATAACACTTTTTCAGCAAAAATAATGTTTATGTTAGAATGTTAGATCTAACATGTTTTCTAACACGTTTTCTAACATGGTCTAAAACTCTTGAATTTTCATGAGTTTTCCCGAAATAAAAAATAAAGTTGGTTTTTTTAAAAAAATATTTTTTTATTTTGTATAAAAAATATGATTTCAACAATCGGCACAACAACAGTTCAAACAACTACAGCACCAAACTCGTTAGTTATGAATCCAACATCTATGTTGGTAGAGATGAAAAACTTCATTCCTTCTTCATATACTTTCGAAACAAAAATCCAGAAGATAAAGCAAGAACTTTTAACAAGTAATTTAGACTGTAGTGCGAAAGATGAAACAAATGAACAGTATCTTTATGAAATGCAGGACATTATTGACCATTTACCCAAATTGCCTGAAATCCAACAACAAAAACTCACTATTCCTGAATTCGACGAAATTGAAGTTAAAGTTACTGACTCAGTAGAAATAAAGAAGTTCATACGAAAGGTAAACTATGAGTTTCTAGGATTTCATTGCAACCATAAGGTTATGGACAAAGATTGCGACATGGTATATAAGAACATCTCTGACCTTTACAAATCCGAAGAATTTAAGACCTACGACAACTTTGTTTCATTAGTTGCAAAATGTGTTTGGGAAATAAGAGATAAAGATAGAAGAGGTAAGGTATGGAACGAACAAATAAGACCCGCTATGTTCGAGATGAAGAGAGCAATTGACGCCTTAGTTGTTTTAGCAGGTAAGGTTTCAGAATATAACGCAAAAATGAACCCGCAATGTTCTAAATGTAAAGCAGCAATGAGGAAATATAACTACTCAGTCAAAGAGATAGAAAGAATGAGAAACGACTATGCAGACTTAAAGAAAGAAGCAGAAAAGCCAGCAGAAGATAAAATGAACATGTTAGCATTTCTGAACAAAAACTATCCAACTGCTGACGATTTCCTTCTATCTGACGTCAAGAAGAAGTATAAAGAAACTTTCGGTATCGTTAAAACATTCGATGTACTGACAGAAGAAATAGAAGCTACGAAATTGTTTAGAGTCATGAACCATCGCAACATATACCATGTAAAACGCTTGTAAATAGTTATGTTAGAAAACATGTTAGAAAACATGTTAGATCTAACATTCTAACATAAACATTATTTTTATTGAATTCCGTATGAAATTTCATGAATTTTGTATGTTTTAGACCATGTTAGAAAACATGTTAGAAAACATGTTAGATCTAACATTCTAACATAACATTATTTTTATGAATTCCGTATGAAATTTCATGAAGAACAGCGAGTAGTGAAAAAACCCTGGTCGCCAAAACTCTTTATTTTTCAAGCTTGACTTTTTACAATTTGAACTTTGTTTGCGTAGATATGAATTCTGAAAGAAGTATGAGGGTCTTGTATGACTTTGTACTTCTCCCATAGTTCATGTCTGTCAAACTTACCTGCCATGGACTCTTTCATAAGTTCCATGAAATCGTCTTCGGACAATCCAGGGAAAAGTATGATATCAGTAAGTATTCTCTTTACATCCTTACTTAAACTCTTGGCTGTCTGTACACAAATGACAACTGAAATGTTAAAGTGTCTGAGCTTCTTGAGAATTCGACACATGTCTTGTTCTCTGTTCTTTAACAAAGGATGAGAAGCAAAGTCATCTAAGATAAGAAGACATCTATGAGGGTAAGTCTTCCAATCGTAAGATTGCAATTTCTTCGAAATGTATTCTATCTCTTTCTGTTTGTTTCTGAAGTGTTTCTTCTCTAATATTCTCTGCATTTCCTCATTTGGGTCTTTAAACTTCGAATTGACATACTCATTTATAGCATTGTACTTCAAAACTCTTCTTTGGTACTTCTTTATCCAATCTAACAACTCAGAGTCTTTTATACATACTAACTTAGACTTCTTTATAATATCTTTGAACGAATTGACGGTTTGGTCAAATTGACCAGAAGTACTACAAATGACAACTAACTCATAGAATGGGTTCTTCTCATCTAGTTCTTGTTGTTGTGCAGCCATTTTAAGATAAGTGAAAGTCTTACCCGACCCAGGTGGTGCAATTAGACCTGTTATACCATTCTGAGCAAATAAGAACTTGTCATGTATAGGCTTTATCTGAGCATTTTCTAACTTCCTCTTGTTCTTGTTTAAAACATTCTCAAATTTCTTGTCAATGTCAGCAAACTTTTTTTCTAACATATTTTTAGAAAAATTAAAAATTTTATCTTTTAGAAAATGTCTAGCGATTTCGCTATCTATATTCGAGACAAACTTTTCGACAGCAAAACATCTGTCGACCATAAAATCTTACATAGTGTCAACAAGAAAGGTGAATTTGTTCTAAAGTTCTGTTTCTGGGAATATGACAAGAACCATAAAACATTAAGCAGAGAAGTCTTTAAGTTTGTCAATGACAGACTTGTTGACAGAGATGACGCCGATTGGAAAGATGAAGTCCAACAAAAGTTCTTAGAATGCAAAGAAGACACATGCGCTGTTCTTGAAGATGAAATAGAAAACAGAATAGAAGAGCTATTAAAGGACAAAGACCTTTTACATAAATATGGTTGCGCCAAATTTGACATAACTCCACCAGAGAAGAAGAAGAAGAAGAGAGAGAAAGAAAAGAAAGTAGAAGAAGAGAAGAAAGAGCCAGAGCCAGAGCCAGAGAAAAAGAAATTTGACATGTAAAAATAAAATTTTATTTTTAGAACATTTCTGGGTCAATGTCAATGTTCTCTTCCTCTTTAGGAGCAAACACTGGTTTAGACTCTAAAATCTTTTTACCCAATTTACCTTGAACTTCAACTATCTTAGACTCATAATATTCATAGTCGTCTGCTTTCTTTGGTTCATAAGGTATAACAAGTTTGTATGCTTTGCCTTCTTTAAGGTTTGAAAACCTTCTGTCAAAATTTTCTTTGACTGCTAACAAACCTTCTATGTCTAAGTCTTCAAATTTCGCACCATTTTTAGTCACAATAGCAAACTTAACTGGTTCGATGTTCCAAACTTTGTCAAATGTAGACTTTTCAAAATGGTAGAAGTAAACATTCAAATAAGCGAATGGGTCTAGTTCTTCTTTGACTTCTGTCATGTACTTGTTGACTGAAATATATTTCGTCATCTTTTCTATCGGATAAAAAAATATTTTTTTTAAATTTACTCATAAAAATTTTTCTTTGTATATACGCCGTTCTGTATGTCTAAAAGATTTTTGACATTTGCCAAGAATGTACGTTTAGAAGCTGCCATATAACCATACTCTTGACAATATTGTTTATATGAATCGTACAATGACCTTTCATCTAAACACTCAAAGTTAGTCTCATCTATGAACAGTTCATATACACTCTTGTTTGCTTCTAACAATGTTTGTCTTCTTCGGTATGTGGAATTTGTCTTGGATTGAACTTTGAAATATCTAATGTCATGAAATATGAGAACAAGTGGTTGTAAAAGTTAGGTGTCAAAGTTTCTGCTAAGTCGTCAAAATATTCTGTATCTTGCATATGAGAATCTGACGTTCTGACAACTACATATCTTCTGTCAGAACTTTCTAACTTCATCGGAACAACATTGTTTGAAACCATGACGAAGTTTGCAACATTTTCACAAACTCTTTGGTCTCTATACTTTCTTTCAACAACTCCAACTTTGTCTGTTATAAGACTCTTCAAAGCATCTGAGTTTAAAACCTTTGTTGTATCTATACTTTGAAGTTCGTTACATACTATAAGTTTCATATTCTCTATTGAAGAGTTAAATTTACCGCAGATGTTTTCTAAGTTTGTCATATTCGGGTTCGAATAGCCCTCTAACAGTTTGCATAAGATATCTGTAAAGAAAGTGTTCTTACCTGTTCCTTGTTTTCCAATTATGATGAGAGCAGTTTCATTTTTAGCACTTGGATGTTGTAAGATGTTTGCAAACCAACATAAGATATACTCATAGACTCTTTCGTTTCCATTGCATATAATTTCTTTGACATGGTCTAACCAAGCTTCTATAACATTTTCTTTCCATTCTACTTGTTCGTATTTATATCCAGTGAAGATAGAATAGAAGTTTGGAGATGGTGTATAGAACTTTATACCACGAACTGAAAAATCTTCTAACTTTGACAATAAGATATCCCAAGCATCTAACATCTTCATACCAACTTGTACGACTTTTATTTTCTTAAGTTTCTGTCTACATTCTTGTTCTGAAACTATTGTTGCTCTTGGTTTGTTAAAGACAACATCCCATTCTTTCATGACATAACATTCTGGGGCAGAGTCGACATAAATGACTAAACGTTTCAAATTCTCGACTGCTTTGTTATAGTCTCTAAATGGACACATATTTCTGAACGCTTGGAAGTCATAAAAATCTGAAACGTCTATTCTGTACATTTTTATAAAAATAAAAAAAAATATTTTTTTTATTCTTGACTTTGTTGTTGCATTTGTTCCATTTGTTGCATTTGTTGCATTTGTTGTTCTTGAGCTATTTGTTGTTGAAGTTGTTCTTGTAGTACAATACTTTCACCAGTTGCATCTTCCAATTCGAAACTTTCTGCCGTCATTGACAAATACATAGGACATAAAAGTTTTACAGGAACAAAGTTTGCGTCAACTAAGGTTAAGTTTATGTTTGCTAAAGTGTTTGAGTTTACTAAAGCTGAAAACTCTGCATTCGAATGAACAATAGGCAAACCAGCAGAGAAAGTGTTGTTTATACGCATGAGTATCTTTTGGTCATAGTAGTTTCTGTCGACATTCGAATAGCACTTTGAACCTAAGTTTGAAACAATATATAAAATAGGTGTACTTAAAGTCAATGGAACAGACAAACCTTGTATGACACCTTTTCCTGTTATAGGAAACTGTTGGTAGTAAAAACCAGATATAAGTTTTGTATTATAGCTCATATCGTTTATAGTAAACTCAGTCGGACATCCAAACATAATGAAACCTGCTCTAGTTGCAGCACATGTTACATCCGTCCTTAAAGTATTAAATAAGTCAACAAAACCTGTTGGTGGTATATCTGAGTAAGTATCTTCAAAGAAGTATTTTTTACCATTCACAACAACAAAGTCTTCTGGTGTCAAAAGAGCAAAACAGGCTTTAGTCGTCATCGTGTTTAAGGTCAGTTTACAATATCGTCCTTGAGGACTTTGTAAGTTTGTTGTTATAGAATTATATGACTCAGGGTTTTTAGTCGTAATAGTATAAACCACTATGTCTTCTGCCATTTACTTAGCAAGTAAATTTTAATGAAATGTTGTGGTCGTCAAATATTTTTATGACGTCTGGGAAACTATATTTTAAGTTCAACGTTTCACCTCCTTTCATAACGTATATCTTGTCAATGACATTATATGAAACACCACAGCAAGCAATGTCGGGTTCTATTTCTTTGATGTTTATATCGTCTGCCTCTGTCAAAAGTTTCAATAGTTCTTTCAAAATTTCATGAGGTGCATGACATATGAGTTCACTTTTACAGGGTTGTGTTCGACCAAGTTTAACATTATACCCAAAGCTTGACAAATCTTCTCCTGAGTTTTAAGTTTGTCTTTAAGTTGTTGGTAGTCGTTTCGAATATCTGCAACAGAACTTAAGTCTCTGCTAACTTCAGGGTATGTTGGTTGTTCTTTTACAGGAACTATTGTTATACCATCTTCGTCTTCGTATGGTTTCCCCACTTCAACATCTCTTTCTTTGACATTGACAACAACACTTTGACTGTTTGTTTGAGTTGGTGAATTTAACTTCACATCTGCCACCGCCATTAAACCTTTTGAAACACTTACGCTTCTATTTTTCGGAAATGACATTTTACTTAGAATAAAAAGATGGACGTATTCGAGTATCTCTTCGAATTGAAGCAGAACAAAGTTTACACACACAAACAATACAAATACATTGACAGAATAGTTCTTTATACAAACAATGGTAAATGTTATAGAATAGCAATATTTGCTGAACCAAAATATTTTCATAAAGCAAAGAAAGTTGGTATAACTGAAATGGTGAAAGTTCTTGAAGCAGACAAAAATATAACAACAAAACTGACCGATATTTCTAAAGGTAAGTTTATAATACAATACTATGTCAAAACTGGCGTACTGTCAATATTTGACGGAGAGAAGTCAGTTCAAGAACAACTTACTGACCTGCTGCCAAAATCTGCTCGATGGAAGCTGTCGTTATGCCAATCTGAGGAGCCCCAGCAGGTTTCATCGAACGAATCTTCAAAAGAGCATCTTCCGTGAAAAGTGCTATTGGTTTTGTAAACTTCTTTGCTTTCAATTCATCTGGACCGTCTCTGTCACCAGTATATTGTATTTGAACTGTACCAACAGTTGAAATACCACCCATAAAGTCTTCTGAGTCAGCAAATGGAATGCCAAGCCAAAAGTTTGAACGGTCTCCATTTGTATATTGAGTTTTTTGACCTCCTGTATGAGTCCATACTTTCACATATGGCATAATAGAACTTTGCATTTCAGGGTTAATGTTGTTGTGAAGTTGTTGTTAAAGTTCATAGCATCTAATGTCAAGTTGTATGACCTCATATCCTCAACTGTAGAATATTCTTCTCTTGGATAGTATTTGCCATCTATGTTTATATGGTATTTAATACCAGGGTTGTAGAAGCAAGAATAGTCATTTATAGTTCGTCTGAACAGTACAAACATAGTATCTGCATGTTTCATTGCAGTTGTTAAAGCAATATCTGTTCTTGCACCTGGGTCAGCACTTTGGTTTCCAACTTCACCTGCAAAGTCTTTGACAGATATTTGGTGTATAGGGAACATAAGTGGAACTGCAATATATTTGGCAGCTAAAGCATTTGAAATATCTGGGTCCAACATATAGACTGCAAGTCTGCTTTCTATTCTCTTGCATTCAAATTTTTCGCATGTGAACTTAACTGGGTCCCAAGCATCTCCAGCAGCATTGAAATAATAGTTTACTTCAGTGTTGAGGTTTGAGAAACCAAAGTCTAAGTCAACTTTGTTTTTGCAAAAGTCGGCGAATGACATTTTATTTGTTCCCACTACTTCTGTAAGAGTGAATGGGTCTTGTGTTGGTGCAATGACTAAGTTATTTTTGCTTGGAGTAAGTTCGATAGAAATTTTTCCTGCCCAGTTTGGCAAGTATCTTAAAAACCTGAAGATGAGGAAAGATGACAAAGGAACTCTAAGTTTCAGTTTTACTTTGGTTACTGCTGCTGCAGTTTGTCCAGAAAGGTTAACATAAACTCCTGGAACGTTAGGGTCAAGTCTTCTTATTTTCTCAATAGTTGCATACTGGTCTGTTTGTTCTCTAGCTTGTGGTTGTACTGAGTTTCTCAAAGCGAACCATTCATAGTTTGCCCATGTTACTGTTTGAACTAAGTCAGAGTTAGAATATATCTTATATCCCATGAAAACTTCTGGAGCATATTGGTATCCGACATAGAAAATTCCATTGCAACCTTTCTTGTCAGACAACTTGGCAGAAGGTTTTATTTCAATGTCTTGTTCCACGTATAAGAAAGAGTTGTCAATAGAAATTATATGAAACCTGTCGCAAGCAATATCTACTGTTGTTGAAGAACCTTCTCCAAACTCACCTACGTTTCCATAAGAAACAGCAGTTGTATATTCGTAAGTTCCAGGAACTATTTCTGACCTTCTAATGGCATTGTCGCATTCGTTATACCATTCGGAAACATTTCCGTTCATGGCATCCAAAACTGTTGGCGTTATATTCTGAGCGGCGTACATTTCATATGAGTAAAAATATAGAATAGTTGGATTTATATGTCATAATAGAACCCACTCCGACCAAGCTTTACTTTCTTCCTGACTGAGTTTTTAACTCTTCTTTTTCCTTCATTGCCCTCTGCTTGAAGTTGTTGCATCTTTGCATTATGTTCATCTAGTATGTTGCAAATTTCCCATGTCCTTTTTGCCTTTTGGCTCTGGTCGCCCATCTCAGGTAACCTATATCCTAGAAAGAGTTTGTCATAGTCTGTATTTGAGTCTTCGCGTATTGTTTGCATGACTCTTTCCTGAGTTTCAGGTTCAAGCTCTTCAAACAGTGCCTGTCCATATGGAATAAGCTCGTTTCCAAATATATGTTTTTG